GCGGGGAGCAGCCCCGGAGCGGCGGGCGCTGCAGGCGCCGCCGCTTCGTTAGGCGCCTCTTACATAAGCCCGGGTTAAAGGCAGACGCGCCTTTAAACTTATTTTCCGCCCCTTTTCTCTGCCCCCAAGCTGGGCCGCGGGGCTGCGTCCCGGGCTCGGTCCTCAGCGGGCCGTTAACGACCCGCGTGCGGCGGCCCACGGAGCCTCGCGTCGCGGGAGCGTTGGGAAACTGAGAGAAAGAAGTGTTTTTTTTCTTTTTTCCAAAGACCCGAAGAGATGTTTGGTACTTACAGACTTCTGTGGTTTTAATTAACGTTATACTGCAGTTAGGTTTTGCAGCAGGCTTGTTCAAGTAAGAGGGAGCAACTTGTAGTGGTTCCGTAGCTGGGTTTATACCTGTTGATATGTTGCTATCAGTGAGGGCTTCTGCATTTTAAATCTAAACGTGCCTTAGAAAGGGGCGTCAGCTTTGAAGTGCCTTTGGAAATGTGAGTAAGAGAATGGGAGATGAGGGAGACTTTTCTGTGCAGACTTTGTCTCCTCTCCCCCTGCTGCTCTCTGTCACTGGTGTCCTTATCCAGTTCATCTAGGAAGAGTAAACCTGTTATAAATACACACACACATGTATGTGTTTATATTATGTGTCCTTTTTTTCCACTGCCAGTGGTGGGATTTTAGCTCCAGGTTTAAAAACCTTGCTGAATAGTTAGCCTTCCTCGTCACTGACACGGCACCGTAACCACAACAGCGCCGGGAATGTATTCCTGACGGCTGCAGCCTGTTTCTTTCACGAGCGTTTGACTAGAAGACATCCAGAGGACAGATCTGGTTAATAAGAAGCTGCCATTTGAATAGGTGCTTTTTAGAGAAGTGACTGTTTAATGCAGTGCAAACTGCAATGCAGCTGCTCTCAACTTTCTTTATTCTGTGAAACAGGTTTCCTGCTTCACTTGAATCTTCTTTTTTTTCCGTCTTTCATGGACTGCAGGTTGAAAACAACTCCTGTAAATGCTTGCAGGGTCACTGTATGTAATGTACTGAATTAGCTTTGGGATTCTTCTTTCAGTCTTGAATCATTTTAATTCCATCTTGGTGTTATCAATATGTAGAAGTACGTTTGCTGGCCATGCTGTGAATGAATCTTTGCCCTTTTGTGCTGGTTCTGGTTGGAAGCTGTAACTCGAAACATATGTTTTTGCATTGAAATATGTGTCCTTTCCAAAGATTCCTCTATAGGAGAAGCGTGGAGTTTGTGTCCTTAAAACAGGAGTGATGAATCAAAGTACTTCACGTAGGAGAATAAGAGCTCAGAGTTTGGCTTTTGAGCAACGGAAAAGTTGCTTCTTCCCGAGGGGTCTGGCCCCAAAGTAGCCTCCCTGCCATAGGCCCTGGGGAGACCTGCAGCCCCTCGGCACCGAGCTCCCCGTGAACGGCTGTGTCCGAGACAACCGTGTCCTGGTGCTTCCCCACGGCGTGCAGCCCAAGGAGGAGTTAGGGCTCAGCCTGCTGCTCCCCTGTACGTTTTACGGAGAAGCTGGATACTCAGCGCTGTGAATTCCAAGGGATGACAAAATACATAAATTTTGCACGTTATCATGTGCATGAAATCCCTCTTTGGGTTGTGTACTAAGAACTTGTTCTGTTTTCTAAATGAATTACTTGGTTTTTGTACAGGTTCTTCAGGCTTCTCTGAGGTTCATTTCCCTTTACCCAGCTTTATCTTTGTTACAAGAAAGTGCTTCATTAGTCCAGGAAGAAATACAATCTAGGCTTTCCAAAAAAAACAGCTGTTAACTTGATGCCCAACTTGCTCAAAACCTGTACTTTTTCCCCCCCCTTTGAGAATCTTTGCCCAAGATAAGAAGAAAGGCCAAGATTCTGTCTTGACTCTCCAGCAGCATTTTCCTACTAACATCTTCTAATGTATGAAGTTTCACACCAAGGCTGCAAAAGTGACTATTTATCGAAAACATTGATACTTGGGAGTCTTCAGCTTGCAGTAACTTATGCTTGCAGGTGATTCCCTTTCTAGTGGATACCTCAGCTAATCTCTGGTTTAAGTTCTGTCACCTGCTGAGCTTCCTATGCCTTTTGCTTCAAGAGCCCTCGAGTTGGTGCATGCAGGGGATGTTGTGAATCCCCTTGGTGCCTCTGTGGTCTTTGGTGTGCAGCTCCGCGTGCGTCTGGCCGTCCCTGCAGCCGCTGTACGTGCAGAGCTGTGTTGCTCTTCCTCCCCATCCGTGGCCCTCAGGTAGCTGCTGTCACGCCAGGGAACTGGTAGTTCACTTTGTCCTTTTGCCTGATCCTCACCACACTCAGACATATATTTCTGAATGCTACTTAAATTTTGAGATACTGTAATTTGTAAGAGCTTCTCGATATTTCTTTTGAGTATTGAGGCTTCCTTAAGTCTGACCATTAGCATTTGCAGCCTCTCTGTTTCACTACCCAAATATTAGGCTTTCCTTGGAATTGCTCTGTGAGATGAGGCCATGAGAAAGGTGCTCCCTCTCACAATATCCTTCACCTGGGAAGGGATGTCCCAGGTTTTACTGCTTCATTCCTGAACTAGCTTAAATTCCCTTCTGTGGCCCTGTGCTGGTCCGGTGTGCAGGGCCACAGAAGGGAATTTAATCTGTTGATCTTGAAGCTGTTTTGTTTTGTGTTGGATCACAAATGTTCTTAAGACCCATGAGAGAGACGATAGTGCTCTATGTCTAAAGAAGACCCTTTAAGAAGACTGGTGTTTAGGTCAGCTGCCCAAGGGGAAGGTAAGGCAGTTTCTTTTCCTATTTGAGGAAACATTTGACTATGCATTTTACTCTGGTCAATGGTATCTCTCTGTCATATGGATAGTGAAAGCAAAAATTTGAAAGTCTGTCAGAGGCTTTTCCAGGATCCCTAGGGCAGTTGTTCTGTAAGCCTTGAGGAGGGAGTGTCCTCTGGAAAACTGGGTGTCTTTGCTCTTGTTACTGTGGAGCTAATGAAGTTTTGTCTGTTCCTTGCTCTGCGTACACATGATTCATTTGTGACTGATGCTGGTCTAACACAGAAGCTTACCCTGAGGAAGAGTCCGCAGTTTCCTTAGAAAATCTACTCTGGTGTTTCACTATTCCTACCCTTACTGGTGGATTTTGTTCGTTCTTCCTCCCTTTTCTGGTTCCCCTGTCAGAATTCTGATCAAAATCTTCATAGCATGTTGCTAATTTGTCACATCCATCATGCACATGGAGAACAGGTTATTTCATTCCTACTTTCTTTAGTCTTCTGTGCACTTGAAAATTATGTTCCTCATGTCCTCTTCCCCTGGAGAGATAGCTTCAGTTAATTTGACACTTTTAGTTCTCTTCTTAGCTTTTAATCAGGCTCCTTTTTGTCCTCTGGGCTCTTTGCATTTAGCCCAGGTCTCTGTAAAAGTTCAGTTGAAGTCGTGAGAGCAGAAGTATTTGGGAAGTGTTCAAGAGAGGTTGACTTCAGAAAGCAGAATCACAAATGGTGTTTCTTTTTGCATACAGTTTCATAGTGAGTCTCTGACAGTGGTGGTTAACAAATCAGCCTCTCCCCAAATATCCTAGTGCATATGGTTGCAACTTTTTGTTATTTCAGTACATGTGGGACTAAGGGGAGTCACCTGGCCCTGCTGAGGAGCTAAAGCCCGGCTTGAAATGTGACATTTGGGAACTTGTTTGAGGGAAGATGTGGGACCTGCAGAAACTGCAGGAGCTACTGGGGTTGATTTGTTCCAAAACTCCTCTTGCAGTTTTAATTGTCTTGCATGTTGCTTCCTGGGCCCTTGACGTTTGTACGTTTCTAGTGTTGCTTTTATCTGTCTTTGGGAGGAATTGTTTATGGTTTTACTATAATGCAGAAAATGCAGTCCTAGCCCCTACCAGTAATTCAATAGTACAAAACAATCTTTTCATAAGTAGAGAAAGGCACTGGATTTGGGGGGTGTTTTCCTATTTTTTAAAACAGCTGTTAGCTACTTCTTTTGGGGTATTTAACTAGAGACTCAAACTTGCTTGAAGCTCTCAAGGCTGTAGTGGCAATACACCAAATTGAAAGAATAGTTACTTATGCTCACTTGAAAATATGTGGAACTTTCAATATTGTGCATTTTCTAACTTATCTGTCTAGAATGAGAGAGAAATTGAACATTTATTTTTCTTTTTCTTTAAGGTCTTGAAAACTTTACGAGGTCCGTGAGATAAAACTACATGACACTACACCATGAGTGACAGTAAATGTGATAGTCAATTTTACAGTGTTCAAGTTGCAGATTCAACATTCACTGTACTAAAACGTTACCAGCAATTGAAGCCCATAGGATCAGGGGCACAAGGCATTGTTTGGTGAGTAAAAAATTACTTTTTTAAACATAAATGCTCTAAATTCAAATGAAACTTGAATGTGTTTCTGATAGAGGTATCAGGTTATCAAATACTGATGATAATCTCTGTCTCTTGCCACAGGGATGTGGAATATATAGATTTTGAAATATGTTTGCTGTAGTTTATGAGCTTTTTTCTTTTGTTTTTAGGGGAGAATAATACTTGGATGACTGCCTGATTTAAGATGGTCAACATATTTTCTTTTTGTTAACCGCTTTATTTTTGTTTCTAGTTCTCCCATTCCCTGTGTAGTCTGATATTCCAGTGTGAGGCATAAGATGGTGAGAGATTCTGGGTTTCACTCATTTCTTCATCGTGGCCCCTTTCTTCCCCCCTTTTTATTCCCGATCACTCCTGTCCGTTTCTAGGAGCCATCAGTGCAGCGTCTTGCCCTTAGCTGGCAGGACGAGGCAAGTCAGTGTCACTGTCACTCCATGGATTAACCCGGCAGGGATGCTGTATGACGGGTTGGGCTGGCCACCTCACCCGTGGTGTCACCTCAGCTCTGTGTCCAGCCTCCACTGGCCCAGGACGTGAGAGTCGTTTAGTGTCATCCTGAACCTTAGTCCCTTGTGTGGCACCACACCTCTGGGCCAGCTCAAGGTAAACATTTTCAAATGTTCTCTACACTGCAGCTGTCTGCTCTCCCCAACTTAGTGCCAGCCCGTGTTTTGTTGGGCAGAATTGATTGGTACCAGCAGAAATGGTTATTGATGCAGTTTCACAGCTCACAAGGGAGCAGAGAGTGTGAGAAGCCCCTCAGTGAGTGACTTCATGTGACTTGATCACAACGTAGTGGCTGTTTCTGCTTTAAACATAGTCTGCAGTTTCAATTCTTCTGTAAATGCTGCAGAATGAGTGGGGTGACTCATAGGCTATGAGCAACTTTTTGTGCATCACGCCATGAGCCCATGTCCTTTTTTTCCAGTTTTTATAACCTTTAAAAACTGATTTACAGATACGAGAAAAAGTGTATTTTCCTGGGAATATAACTTTTTATTTTTAAACGATTCTGATATTCCTATTTCCCCACTAATAGATGTGGAATAAGCAAAATTAGAACACCCTATCTCATTCCTTTTTAACTGGTTGAGTGATGAGTGTGTAGGCACACTAAGTCTTGGCTATTAGTGTTTGGGTGAGAATTAATGTAGTGCTAATATTTTCCTGCTGCAAATATTCTTAACATTATATTAGTTCTAGAGGGCATCCAGGAGGTCAGCTTGCTTGTGATTTCTCCTTCTTTCACTGCAAGTATATAACTTGTTTTCTGTCTTGAGCTAAGCTTGCTCTTCAGCAAGAAGTTAGGGTAGTGTTAAGGTCAGTGTTTTGGAAAGAAAGGGTGATTTGATGAATTTGGGCGCACTATTTAAGGAACAGCAGAATATAAAACATTTCATCAATTTTTATCTTTGAAGTATCTGAAAGCCTTCATGTTTGGTGAGGAATTTCTCATGCCAAGTGTGTCACTTCAGTTAGTCTGGATGTTGTTTTTTGGTCAAAATATTAATGTGAAACTTGCATCTTCTCTTCTGTGAAGAGTTGGTATTAAGTTGATGTTTTTCTTTGATATCAAAATACATATTAAAAAAGATTTTTTTTTTTCCAAGTAGATATGAAAGAGCAGTGATGGAGGTAATAAGTGAAAGAGCTAGGAAGATGGAAAAAAAAAGTTTGGTTGCTGTATGGAGGGTATTTCTAACATGCACTCTGCCATGAACTGGGAGAGAAATTGTATATAAAATATAAATGATCAATTTCTCTCCCAGTTTATGGCAGAGTGCATGTTAGAAATACCCTCCATAATATACTTTGTATATAAAATATAAATGGTCAAAGTATATTTTTGAGCAGAACTTCCCCCTTTATTCCTAAGTATTAATGTATTTGTCATAATATATTTAGTATTGAATAATCACTTGCACAGAATTATTCTCTTAAAAAAATTTCCCCTTAAACTTCCTGGCATTTTATTTCTTTTCTCATCTTTGATCTCCTTGGATTTCCTAGTCAATGGTAGTCTCTCAGCAAATTTTTGTCATGCAGTGCAGCAAAACCACAATGTTTTAAATGAAGAGAGCATGTCTGCACTCTGATGGTTGTACTTGCAAGAGTATTTGCTGCTTTTGCAGACTCTTCAGACGGTGGAGAAAGGGTCAATGGTTTTGAATGCTGAAATAGTTAATGGACTTCCTGTTAGTAGCCAAGGTGGTAATGGGGTAGCATCTGCTGTTATTAAATCTATACCTGATACAGTTGCCTATAATTGTGATTAGAAAAAGTCTGCTCAGAATTCAAATTCTGAGGTAAGGATAGGTTTTTTTTTCTTAATAGATGAATCAGTTTAATACTGATTATCTTCATAATTTTTTCTATAAAATTGCAAAATATTTAGCAGTTAGCCCTTGATGGTGATAGATAAAGGTATATTCTGTCTTCTCTTGGTTTTTTTTTTTTTTCTTTTTTTTCTTTCTTTTCCACACTAAATGAGTGTGGGAAGTCAACTTTTCTTTTCCCCTCCTACTAGTCCAGCAGGCAGCTTCACATTTTTTCAGATGCAGCACTGAAGATATTCCCATACCATTGGGGGCCTAAACAGAAAATGAGGATTATTTTCTTCTAAACACCGTTATTGTTTAGAGCTGTAAAAGATCCTCAGGCAGGAGTCCTGCTGTGTATGGAATGGGCGCTCCACTTGTGTGCCTCTGCTGCAATAGAAGAAAAAAAATCCTTCGGAAATAGTGAATGACTCTAAGGCAGCAATGGTATCTTTTTCCTCCTGCACCCCAAAACTTTCAGAATATTCCAAAGTATTCAGATTATGCAGCTGAGATGCTTTTTAATTCCAAATATATTAAAAGATTAATGTTTTTCTTAGATTCTTTTTTAAGGTGTGTCTTGAGTCGGTGGATGTGGTTATATGGAAGGGTTAGAGAAGACTTCAGCTAAGAGTGTTATTGGCTTCTGTTTAACTTGTTTCTGTTTTACAGAGTGTGTAGGTTCCTTTCTAAATGAAAAACAGACCGTGTTAATATAACCAGGTTGTTTATTTTCCAAATGAAAAATAGAAGGTGTTAAAGTAATCAGCTCTGGAATATGCACTGTTTCAAAGTGGATTTCTTTCCTCACTCCCGTCTCCCACGTGCCCCTCCTCTCTGCAAAACAAATTTCTTCTTACCTTGTTTGTATTTGAAACCTTCTAGTGCTGCGTTTGATACAGTCCTTGGGATAAATGTTGCTGTCAAGAAGCTGAGTCGCCCTTTTCAGAACCAAACCCACGCGAAGAGAGCTTACAGAGAACTCGTTCTGTTAAAATGTGTCAATCACAAAAACGTAAGTGTGGCTTTGTCTCTTCCATGAGCGTGAGGTGTCTATAAGGGTCTTGTTTTACTGTCCTATCTACCGTTAGCAATCAAAGCAGTGGAAAAAAGTGGCAGGAAGAACAGGGCAGCTTAGTGGTGAAACACAGTTCCTCGCAGCGTGTGGTGACATTGGTGGTGGGGCGTTGGGTGGCGTTGGAGGAGGAAGTGCCGGCAGGAGGCGGCTGTTGGAGCAGCAGGGATGCGGGCTGCCCCTCAGCACAGACCTCCTGGCGCTGCCCCTGCTGCAGAGCATCCTGCCCAGTGGCCTGTCCTGCCCAGCGGGGCAGAGGCTTTGTGTGTGGGTTTGACTCTTCTCGCTGCACTGTGGTTAAATGTCCTGAGCTCCAGCGAGATCTCTCTTTATTAAAACACCAGTGTTTAACTGGCAGACACAGAGGAAGATGGAACGGAATTGTCTGACATTTCATCTGTAAACAGAAGTGAAAGCGCTGTGCTGCTTGCTGCTTTTTGACCTTTTTAAAATATAAGGCTTTATAATGTCAGTACTTGGATGTTCAAATGCAGAATGTTTAAATGAGAGAGTATAAAGATAATGTGACTGCATTGCATTCTAGTGTTAATGTGAACTGGAAACCCAGAGTCCTCAGCATGCAGTCCCAATGATCCACGCGCTTCGTGGAGTCTGTTGATTGTTTATGGTTGATTTAAGTAAGCTTTTGTTAAAATACTGAAGCAGCTGAATAACTGCATTGTTCTCCTTAAAATTACTACTTTGCTCTAATTTTAGTAGTTCTGGAAATAGTACATAATCATCTAAGATGAATGGGATGGCATGGAACACTTCTGTCTATGTGCTCTTGCCCACCACAGGCTTTCAAATAACAGATTCTCACGCACAGATGTTGAAAAAAGAGAATATATTTTGGGCAGTGGAGAGGGAGACAGTTATAACTTATAAAATCAGCTGGCCTTGTCTGCCTCGTCCATGCTACAATTTTGAACCTTTTTTTCAGCATGGGTTAAGCAAAAGTGAATACAACTTAATAATATTTAATCAACAATGTGCATGTGATTTTTAATAATATTTTCTACAATATTGATTTCTTTAGTGCAAATTAATGTTCTTATGTTTATTTTTACTTTATAGATCATTAGTCTATTAAATGTATTTACACCACAGAAGTCACTAGAAGAGTTTCAGGATGTGTAAGTACTAACTTCTTGGTGTAATTCTCTTGACAAATGCTGTTGGAGGATGGTAGCAGCTTTTATTAAACATCACTCATACTAGGCTTAAATGTGATTTCTTAATTTTTGTAATTATTTTCTCTTATGTTTTAGATATTTGGTTATGGAGCTCATGGATGCAAATTTGTGCCAGGTTATTCATATGGAATTGGATCACGAAAGAATGTCTTACCTTCTCTACCAGATGCTGTGCGGTATCAAACATCTCCACTCAGCTGGTATCATCCACAGAGTAGGTACTATTAAATCACTAATAATACTCTTTATGAAGACACGTGTTCTTATGAAACTGCTGGAAGGTGAAAGCTGTTTCTTAAAAGTCTGTATTACATTTTTTTCTGTATTACTGAAGACTTTTTAGTTCAACCTTGAGGAGGTACAATGTAAATGAAACTGAAAACAGGCTACCTCTATTGACAGTAGGACGTCATTTATAGCAATTTTTGTCAGTAATATAATTTAACTAATGCTAAATCAATTAAAAGAAGCATGAGCAACAGCAGACATTTCAAAAACATTCTCTATAATTTGAAAGAAACTAAAGCAAAACAAAAAGACCTTTGAAGTTTTGGGGGAAATTTGTGATTAGATGAAAGATTTGGTTTTGAAAAGAAGGCAGGAGTAGGAAAGGGACAGAGCTGGGGTAGCATAGGAGAAATGGGACAGCAGCAGAGTCTGTGAGCTTGAGCTAATGTACGTGGCTCTCGCATCTGTTGTTAATTTGGCATATTGGAAGTCACATGCCCAGTGTTATGGCAAGATGAGGTAACAACAAATTTCCCTATGAACTGCTGCAAATGATTATTCTGTTATTAAAAGATTAACTTCTGGGTGGAGCATTAGAATCAACAGTTTATCTGATGCTTCATGGAGTTTAAATGTACATTTTCACATATGGAAATTCCTTTATTAAATTGCATGGGGGCGTGTGTACATATATATATATATATATATAGTTGACATATGCTTGAGGAAGATACTAAAGCATCTGAAGAATACTGTGGAATTTACCATGGTAAAATACTTGGGCTATCTGCTTGTATGTGTGTTATTCAGCTTCTTGTAATAATTTCTGAATAATAACACTTGAAAAACTATTTTTTTCAACATACATTGTATTCTTTTGGGCAGAGTAATGACTTTTTCCATGGGTATAAGCTCTTAAGATATTTTATCATTCTCCTTGCTCATTGATAGCTTTATACTTTTGCTACATCATAGCAAATGGCTTATCTCTCATTAACAAATGCATTTGTTGAAGCTTTATGTATTAGTTTCTACCCTTTCCTGCACATATCTGGCTAATTGACACCCTGTGTCCTATATTCTGCTGTTAGTAGGGCACAGATACTAAATACAACAAAGTGCTTCACTCTGCAGCTATTACTCATACCCAAATTGGGTCTGCTAAATGTGTTAATGCAGATTTTCTGTAAGCAGATTTCTGTGTATATGCCTGATGTGTTCATACAATATTTAACTGACTACATTGTCAGTGCTTACATGGAAAATTATGCCTAGACAGGCAAGTTTGATTGCAGTTTTCCATGAAATTTTGAATACTTAGCAATGAAACGTTAACTTTTTTTGTGTATATCTGTAGCAACCTGCAGATAGATTAGAGCCATTAAGTTATTCGTGTGAGATGAACTGACATATGAACTGGCATGTATTGACTCTGGAGGTGGGGTATATTTTTCAAAATGTTGAGACTTTTGTTAACTGAAATAATTTGCTTTTAGGATTTGAAACCCAGCAACATAGTAGTAAAATCAGATTGTACACTCAAAATCCTTGATTTTGGTCTGGCAAGAACAGCGTGTACCAATTTTATGATGACACCGTATGTAGTAACACGGTATTACAGAGCCCCAGAGGTTATCCTTGGAATGGGATATAAAGAGAATGGTAAGTTGCTGGACTAACATCTTAAATCTTTTGTCTAAAGCACATCTGTCCTAGAACATAAGTCTCGAAGATGGGTGGCTGGTTCCCTTCTTTTCCATCCCCCCACTCCTCAGTGTGTTATTAAAACGTAAATCAGGATATTGGAAAAAATGAGAATTACACTCCTGATGTTTTTGGAGTGTATTAATACATTTCTGCTCTGTGTACATCTCTTCATTTGTACTGTTCTTTCTCACACTGTCCTTATTTCTTTGCTTGTGTTGTCCTGTTGCCATGTTTTCTATCTGATGAGAAAATGTTTGAGACGGTTCCACTCAATGACTGCTAAAACATATAAGCATCCATATGATTAACGTGACTTGTTCTGAAGCACCTTCTCCCCATCTGTCCCCTTCTATGTCTTGGGTCACTTTATTCAAATCTATTTCAGATCCCTAGGACAGACCGTGTTTTATGTTCTCTTAAGTGTGTATAGCACTTAAAGCAACTTAGTATTCCATTATTAAAAACAACAACGAGACTATATTGAATACCAGGGAAACCAAGGACAAGAGGTTGTCCTTGAACAACGTTACTGGGGTCTGACCTCCTGTTTTTATTAGTTGTAGAGTAATACGCTGCCTCCTTTTTACTAATTCTAACCTGTTATACCTATTTGCTCCTTCACTAAATGCTAGGGTTTGGGAAGGGCATACTATATATTTTTATACTTTTTACATATATATTTTATATATAAAGTATGTGTATGTTTAACTCTGGCTTTGTAATACAAGAGACTCTGGACCTTGCTGAGCCACTGATCAGGACAACTTACATTGATGAACAGGGCGGCTGGGGTTTGCTAAGTGCAAATGTGGATCAGAACTTTAGTAGAGGCTGCTCTGGATGGGACAAAAATAATTTATCTGCAGGACTGTGGATGTGCAATGTGAGCTTACAGATCAAGCTAACTCTGGTATTTAAAAAATCTTTAATCTTTTGTCCTTGTTGCACCTAACAAATGGTAGTGGATATCTGGTCTGTTGGGTGCATTATGGCAGAAATGGTCCTCCATAAAGTCCTGTTCCCAGGAAGAGATTGTATCCTTCATGGTGGTTTCAGAAATCTAAATATTTGTTGTGTTTTACAAAATGCTAATAACAGAGCTTTCATAAGAGTCAGTTGGTGTTGATGTGGTTGAAATTTCATGTTAGTAGTTTGGTTTTCCACATTGTTGTGTTTTACTGTAGATGCTAGACATTTTTGTTTTGTTTTTTGCCTCACTTTTGTTCATGATACTTCATAATTTGATCATTTCATTTTTACTTTCAGTTGATATCTGGTCAGTTGGGTGCATCATGGGAGAATTGGTGAAAGGTTGTGTGATATTCCAAGGCACTGATCGTATCCTTCCCTAGTCATCCTTGAATTCCATTCCACTTCCAACAGGAACATAATTATTTTGATCTGTTTAGGTAAAAAAGCATAAAGATACCCTTGCAATCATGGTTTAGTACATCTGCTGTAATATTTGGAATTAGTGTCATTAACCAAATTGTTGAGCGTCCCATTTAATTCTCTCTGATTGTATTTCATGTAATTTGTACTGGTTGAATCTGTAGAATTTATAGTAAGATCTTCAGCTTTTGTAGCTTTAAGAGGATCCTGCTAGACTTAAGCTATAAATAGCAGTAAGTATATGTTCTTAGTTCTTACTATTATTCTTTGTAGGTAAGTGTTATAAGCCAAAGCCTAAAGTTATTTTTTACAAATGCATGGATTTTGCTTCCCGTTTGTTTGAACAGTAACTTGGTTTTTATTGTACAGTTTTCTGAGTTTCAAACAGATTTCTTTTTTCTTGCTTATTAGCATTTGCTGGACAGTAGTGTCCCAACTGTAAAAACATTGCATGAGATATTTTTTTATTATTAATATTTTTTAATATTAAAAGAAAAACTTTTCTTTTGAAGCTCTTTTCATTTTATGAAAATTTTATTTTAGTCTTTTTTAGAAGACTATCATTCTTCTTTCCCTCTTCCCCCTCCAAATTTATCTTCAGAAAATTGTGTTTTCCTGTACAGTAAGAAATGTAGGAAATTACTGTGAAACATACATATGCCTTCATACATATTATAAATCTGAAATATCAGTAGCACATTACTGAATCAGAAACAAGTCTTTGCCTTGTGTTAAGTGAACAGAAACAATCATTTGATAAATTTTTTTAATATATTTGGTGTATATCAAAAAACTTAGAAAACAAATCAAAACAGCTGAGTAGCTTTGCAATTACAAACACCACTTCTTCATCCTGCATAAGAAAGAAAAATCTTGCAAGGGAATGTGATAGAAGTAGATGTTCAATACCAATAAATAAATTGAATCCAGAAGATGTTATTAAACCACAATTGGCAGCCTTTGGCTCTAGGTTTTAAGACACAACAGATAGTTTTGGTCCAGCGTTTTCAGGCAAACAGCATTTTTGCTCATTGGCCAGCAAAACTTTGGGCACACCACTTAAATTTCTGGGGTGAGTTCACAAAATCTTGTCGCACTTACCTAGGTCTTTTAGTAATGGACTTTCAAATTTGAATGCCAAATTTCATGACACTAATCTTCAGCAGTCAATCATGCATTACTTAGTAAAACAAATGATTAGTTCAGTCTTTTTGTTCTTCCACCTTTCTTCATTTCTATACTTATTGTTTTATCTTCTAAAGCCTTCAGACCAACCTAACACAATTCTTCATGTATGTTGTGTCTTTCACCTGCATGTTAGCATGAGATCCCTTTATGAACACACAGAGGAAATTTTGTTCATACTTGTTAGATATGCAGGTCAGCACTTACAGTTCTGTAGGGGTTAGTGAAGCTCCAGCAGTCTGGATTTCAATTTCATAACTATGTTATCAGTAGGAGTGCATTACTGTAGTGTTTTATTTATTAATTGTCTGCTCTAAAATGTGGATTTTGGTTCTCTTTAATGCCAAACACTGACAGCTGTATATGTTGTTGAAACCTCTGAATTGGTGTTGGTCACAAAGGTTTATTTTTCTGTTTTTTAAAAAAAAAAAAAAGGGCTATAATTTGAGTTGACTAACCACACTGCTGGTACCCAAAAATCTAAGCTAGTGGTGATCTCGCAGAAGTCAGTTTTCCAGGTAGGAACAAAATTTCCTGATGTGTGTTAAAAGGTTTATTTGTATGTGCCTTGTTTTAGCATGAGAGTTTAATACTTGACCTTTTTTATTGAGATTTTAATATGTCTTTTTCATTGCAATATATTAAATAAGCAAATGTAACTTTCAGAGATTTCAATACAAAGATTTAATGTTTAGCATGAAGCAAGGAATATGCATATATTTTTAGTTGTATTTTTGGCATGTTAAACAGAATTAAAAACACTTCTATCATCAATACATTTTAAATGCATCTTAGCTGAACGTGCAGCAAGTTTGTGATCTTTTTGTTGTAGAATCTGTCTATATGAATAGGTTGGTTAGAATAAAATGCTTTAGATTGTGGATTTAAATGTGGAATGTTAGCCAGGAGGATGGTCAGACTCTGGTGTATTCTTTTAATCAGAACAACTGTAAGCTGTAAGTCTGAGTAAGCTTGCATTGTACTAGTATTCCTGGTAATCTTCTCTCTGTTTTGTTAACCTGATGAGTCAGAGCAAGCTTAGGGATCTAAACCACATTTATTATGTGTAAAGCAAATGCTCAGATGAGAAGGAGCAGTCCAGGAAACACATGAAAAAGTATTTTCTGAGTATAATTCCTGCAAAATACTTGAAGTCTGAATTTAAGGACAGAACAATCTTTGAATCTTGCCACAACTGATGCACTTGAAATCACACACAAAAAAAAAAACCTCAAATTGGGATTTCTTGTTCAGCATTACTAATTTATTGAAGTTTCTGATTGTTAACATAGTTTTCAATTTAAAAAAAAATATCGAATTTCTTTAGGGAATATGCAGAAGAGTTCTTTACACTGAGGATAAAAAGCCCCTAGGTAAATATTATGTTATGTTTCTTTCCCTACCTTCAGGAATCGTCCTTGTGAAGGCACTCTGTGTGCTTCCAAGGGCTCCAAGGCAGACTCTTTCGTTTTGTTTTCAGAGTCTCCCTCGAACAAAGGTCTTTTGTTGTGGATACAATTGCTCCATAAAGACTTCATTAAGACTCTTTAAAGTACTGCATTCAAAACTGGCTGACAGATATTAATGAGCAACAGATTTGAAAATGATGCATTGGGCAGCACTTCTACCCCATTTTACATTAATTGCATAACAAAACCTGACTTTGATACTTTGATATCAGTCTAAGGTTTTTGCATGGCAGCTCAGCTCAGAATACAGTTGCTTTTGGAGTGAAGTTTGTATCCCTGTCCTTTGTTCAAGTTTTCACTTTTCAGGTTTCAATAAATGTTCTTGTATAGACTTCAAAAACTGCAGCTGTTTTTTCCTAAAGATGTGGTGCAGATATTGATCAATGGAATAAAGTTATTGAACAGCTAGGAACGCCATCAGCAGACTTTATGAAGAAACTACAGCCCACAGTGAGGAATTACGTAGAAAACAGGCCAAAATATCCTGGTATTAAATTTGAAGAGCTCTTCCCAGACTGGATATTTCCATCGGAATCTGATCGTGACAAGTTAAAAAGTAAGGAGGGGGGAGGGTCTTATGTTTTTAAAGATATTCCCTTTAAATGTCTACGTTACACTTGCAAGAGGTGTCAGCACTAAAGGTGGCAACCTGTAGCATATCCTGAGATGTCATAAAGAATTACACTAATAGTAGTCATTGAATACAGAATTATTTCCCAGTTATTAAAATTGTGTTTTTTTCACACAAAAGTCAAGCAAATGTCACCAAAACTGTGTAACTACGTATCACATTAACTCTTCTGTAAAGAAAAAGTAATTTGATTGTACTTTTATTGTATTAGACTGTGCTTTTAAAAGCCTTTTTTTATTCAGTCTTTCGTGGTCAAACTGTGACCTATGTGGCAACAGAACTGTTAACAATTGAGGTTGATTTGCAGGCTCTGTTTGGTGTTAATATAAAATTTACATTAAAAGACTGACATTACTCTTAAAATACAACCCCCACAACCCTGCACTCCCTGCCCTTTGTGTTTTTATATACATGTGTAACAGTGTAGGAGAGATTGGGTCTGTGGGCCTGCCCTTTCAAGGTGTGTGCTCATGGTTTTAGCAAGATGTGGACCACACAGCTCAATTAAATGAGTGCTCAAGGGGAGTTATTTGATACTATAAGATTAATCACTAACTTAATGTCACTGACAAACAATCTTGTTGAAAAGCTTCCTTACTGAAGCAATCTCTTGCATTGCATGTTGCCCATTGCTAATCTGTTTTCTGTGTCAGACTTCAACGTTTACAACTCGTTCTTTTTCTAGCCAGTCAAGCTAGAGACTTATTATCAAAAATGCTTGTAGTAGATCCAGACAAGAGAATTTCTGTAGATGAAGCCTTACGTCATCCTTATATCACTGTCTGGTATGATCCAGCTGAAGCAGAAGCTGTAAGTTTCCATTTATTTAAAATTAATTTTAAGGTATCAGTGTGGGTGGGTGCTTCCCCCCTGCTCCTGCCCCATCAGTGAAGGTTCAGGAGCGGAACCACAAGCTAGTAAGGTAGAATTCATACAGTTCCTAATTTGCTGTTCCCTTTAGAGGAGGAAGAGTTGCCTATGGTAAAATCTAGTGCTTTTTGCCAAGTGGGCTTTCTCTGCAATCACATCAGGCATTTACATTGACTCTTAAACAAATTTTCAGCAGAGATAGAACTTAATCTGTGGAGCTGTAAAACGACTGTGACTTTGAGCTGTGGGCGAGCAGACTGCCAAAGATGAAAGTAACAAAATTCTGAGAAAATCGTTTTTTTCGTGCTGTGATTGATCGTGTTTGTCTGACATTGTAAGTACGCTACAGACTTTGGGTTTTTTTGTAGCCTCCACCTCAAATATATGACGCACAATTGGAAGAAAGAGAACATGCAATTGAAGAATGGAAAGGTAAGAAGTGGGGATTGATTTTACCAAAAGAATAAATAGCATTGAGGTATTACTGTCAATTACACCTATAGTTTTAGTCAAAGTTTCAGTACAAGAGTGATAGACACTTCCGCTTACTGGGAAAGTCACTAATCATTCTTTAATTTTTTAAGAAATAGCTTTATGATTTGAGGTATCGATTCTGATGAATATTAAGGGCATGTCTGCGCAGGTACACTTCAGCTTAGGTTGGATTAAGTCAAAGTGTAAAAGAGTTAAATCTGATTACTGTAGTGAATGCTTTACTCAGAATTAAAGGGTTCTAAGCTATTTAAACATTATGGAAGTTTGTTTCTCCAAATTATATCAAGATTGACGTATATTTAGACTAGCTACTGTGAGTTAACTGTAGCTGTAAGTAAAAGTGCCCATGGGAGTCTGTCGTAGGAAACGTGTTTCCTCTGGACAGAGGTGAGTTAGCCCCCTTGAGTGTTCCCTACTCTGGACAAATGAAACAGTACTGGATGGTCCTGTAACTTTAATGCTGTGATATTTTGATAATTGTATTTTAGAACTAATCCTTCTTGTGAATAGGAGTTGTTCTTGCCATACATAACATGAGTTGCTAGTGTAATCCACGTAAAATTTCAAAACTGTTGTGGAAATCTCCATGGATGTTTTCAGAATAGAGACGTTTGTTGATACTGTATTCTGAAATGTAGGTGTTATCACTACTTTTCTTAAAAAAAAGTGCTCTTCAGTTTTCTCTTTACAGTTACTTTCAGTGTACCTCTGACATGAGTTTCTTTGTTTATATTAATATGATTGACTATTTTGTTTATAAAATTTTTGTACATGTTGAGTGTGCAGAGCATTCTGTGGTCTTACAGTGATCTTTCTCTTACTCCGTCTCTTCAGAATTAATATACAAAGAAGTAATGGATTGGGAAGAAAGAAGCAAGAATGGTGTGGTAAAAGATCAGCCCTCAGGTTAGTCATTGTTTCAACAGTTGGCTTCTATAACTGTGATACACAGGGTTGGTCGGTTGTGTTACTGAAATGAAGAAATCACAGTTAATTCAGGTAGGCGAAAGTTTTGTTGTTCAGTGCTATTCATTCTGATCAGTCTTTGAAATGTGAAGCAGTTTTACATTCTTAGGAAATAAATTATAGGAGAGCTTCTTTAAGAAATCTTGTGTGTCTAATGCACTGCATTGTATATTCACTGCCTTTTCCCCCAAAGGATTCAGTCATCAAATGAGATATCTGGCATCAACTGTTAAATAAACATCTTTTATGCTGAATGCTTATTGTGTGGCTCTGTATGAATGTGTCCATTTTATGTAGGGTTTAGCATCTGTTGACCTCCTTATTTTATAAGCAGCTTATAGCATGAAGTATTTGTCCTTCACTGAATTCTTGATGTTTGCTGTTCTCTTGGTTCAGTATTTAGAATATAGTATGGTCTCTTGTGAGCTGTAGCTATTAGATCTCTCAGTATTCAGATAATTGTTCATCGGGCAACACAATTACATCTGTATTTAAGTATACACATTTTTACGTATGTATGTACACACAGAAATATACACACACATATATGTGCACAGATATTGTCCCTCTAGAGGGAGAAAAATATATAAATAGGAGTCTCTTAATATCCTAGTCAGGTTTTGAGTTCTAAGGAACTTCATGTTTGTTGTTTCAGTAATTTATTTCACAAGAACTTCAGTGGAGAAAAGTGGTCAGTGCCTGAAAGCAGGGTTATTTTTACTTGTAATATTGTCTTGCCTCAGATTTTATTATGTTTGGTTTACTTAGCACAGATGCAGCAGTGAATAGCAACACCAGTCCTTCCCAGTCATCATCTATCAATGACATTTCATCCATGTCAACAGAGCAAACATTGGCTTCAGATACAGACAGCAGCCTCGATGCCTTGACAGGACCCCTTGAAGGATGCCGATGATCAGCCAGGATTGCAGACTTAACTTTGGAAAAGAACTCTTGCTTCCATTGGGCCTGAATTGCTTGTAAGTTAATGGAACCAAGTAAAAAAAACTCCATGTTCTGCATGTTTTACTGAAGTAATGCCTGTATTTTTTACTCAGTTGTTAAAACTGCCTGCTTAATGTTGTAGAATGAAAGCAAACCAACATCTAAAGAACAAAAAATCTAAATTTAGATACTGTTAAAGGCTTTTCTGTGTTCCAGCCCATTTCAGGTGAGCAGTTACGATAGACCTATAGCTAATAACTCCTCTTGAGTGGGTTTGTGACTTTACAGGCCCAACTGGTAGGCTTCTGTGATGCAAATGGTTGTTTACATTTTTAGTACAGTATTGCTCATCAGTAGATTTTCTTGAATGTATAGTCTCTATGAAGTATGTTTAAATGTGACTGCAGCAATTTGCTTTAAATACTGGAGTGTTACACGTGAGTGTTAACTCATATTGAGCACTCAGTACTGTATTTAAAGGGCAGTTACTCTTCCACATAGCACTTTTTTATTGAGCCCTTTCTGTCTTCACTTCCCAATGATTCTGTCTGTCTTCTTGTAGAAGAGATGAACATGAACTTTAAAGAACATAGCCATCACTTCATATTTCACTTATGAATATGTGTATGTGTCTTTTGACTCCTTTTCATTATTAAAAAATGGAAGGGAGATGAAGTGGCTTAACTCAATCTTAAGAGACTTTTGTTGAGTGACGTATCTGTGAGGCAGTGCCTGTTAGAAGAGGAGAGAGTGCTAAATTGATCTGTACCTTTCTGGCTTGTGAGACTGGTCCTTTAACAGAAGAAAAAAGGGAAATGAAATCTGTCATGCTCCTCGTTTCATTGCTCAGTGCAAACTCTGCTAAAAGGGCAGACAAATTGGAGAGACTTGCAGCCGAAGTGGCTTGAAAGACACCTGCAAAGTCTTTACAGTTTCCTTCATGGGCACATTCTACCTAGTGAGTTTAAGACACAGTATGATAGTAGTTTTGAGTAATTTGTCAGCTAAGCTTATTTGTCAGACTATTTACTTAATATTGCTTAAAGCTATTCCCAACCTAGGGAAAGTTCTTATATACTGGGGGAGGAAAACATACTCTGTTTTCCTAAAGACAGTGTCAGAGGACAGGAGGGAGCTATTTGCTGTTTCACTAAAGGCCTATCTCTGCAGTCCTCAGAATCAGATAATACAAATATTCCCTGTAGCATTGCACGATATTTTGAATTCTTAGATGTGTTTGCAGTAGTGTAGGGCTGAAATTACCAAATACTCCACATCTGTGCATTGTCCATGTTCGCTTTGGAGCATACAGATGTATAGAACATTTTGCTAAAGGATCTTGTGAGTGCGTGTGTGTGTGTGTGTGTGTGAGAATAAACAATATTACTATAATAGCAAGGAAGAGATAACCGAGATGAGGTAAAGCACCACTTTAAAGGCACTGTTGATCTAGATGCTGTTGACTTGAATATTTCACACTCTGTAAAAGAAAGGAGAATGTACTTGTAATTCCTGGCCTTAAGATTTGAAAAACAGTAGCCTCAGTATAAACATTGCTTTTAGATTAGAATTGTACCCATATGTTTTTAAAAAACTTAATTTTTTATAGCAAATACTTGGTTTTAGAACTTAATGTCCCAGAAAGTAAAAACCGTCATTGTATCAAGTACTCTAATAACATCAGAATTGTTATCTGGCATCTTGGAATTTTTAGCCCTGCTTAACTGTACTGCAGGAATTTGGTTTATCTTCAGATGCTGGTGATGTATGTGAAATGATTTTAGTGCATTTTGTCACTGGAACAAACATTTAGTGCTGTCTGTTACAGTAGTACATGTCAGGCTGTTTTTTTCTTTTAATTCTTGTTATTTGTGTGAGCTAAAACTCAAGACACCTATTCAAAACAAACATGAGTAAGTTTGGATCAGCTGTAATTTGCCTTAGACCTTTGCAGGCTAGCAAAAGACACAGACACTGTAGAATGAAACGGTGAAAAAACTATGAATAGTAGAAATAGAAAAAAACTTTGGAATATATTAACATGGACAATCAGCAAAGCATAGTTACCTTTTTGAGATAAAACTGTTAGTTATCAGTGACATGGTGGTGCTAAAGGCATCGTACTTTATAAGGGGGTGATGTTTCTGACAATGAGTGCTCAGCACTACTTTTGGTGATCCAAAATTTTTAAGTTGTTTTTTCTTTTGATTTTGTTTTGTAAAGAATCTTGTTGCAAAATAGTAGAATACAGCATTTTACACACTTCATTTTATACTCCTGTGAAAGAATTTTTATTCTCTATAGGAGTGTGAGGGGCTGCAGTCCTGAGCAGCCGATCAAATCTGCTGCTCCAGCAACTGCAGAGCAAACGCGTTCATGATCCTGCCGTGATAAAGGACTAGACCATTAGTAACTTGCTTTCTGCCAGCTTTGTTCTAGGCTGTAATCCAGTAATTACTGGATTTTACTTTTCAAGATTCTTAGGGAGTGGAAGTGGGGAGGCCGAGTAGCTCTTTCTATTAATCACTCTGTTTCCTCACATTTTGGATGCACAGAGTTGAATTTTTGATATCAATTCATATCAATCAGCTCAATTTCATTTGAGCTGATGTGAACATGGAAGTTGGACCAGATGCCCACCAGATCTTTTCCAACCTAAGTTATTCTGTGATTCAAAATTGTCCTTTTTGTTTTTTGCTACATAACTGATTTTATTTTAGTTGAAACTGACATTGGACCTTCTCTTAGTATATAACTTGACCTTGGAGTTAAAACAGCTGTGGGATTGGCTGAATTCCCTTGTAAATCTTACTGTAGGAAAAGCAGTCTCTTTTTTTATGTATTCTTGCTATGGCATTCATTGAAGCTTCAGGTTTTTATACAACTGTTGCTGTCTTGGAAGCATGCATGAAATGAAAAAAATAAAAAACTGTGAATATTGTGGTTTTGATTCCAGTATAAGTTTTTTTAATTGCTAATAAACTGAATCAATGTCCAGCTCTCGATATGCAGGATGTACACAGAAAAATGCATGCGGAGGAGACGCATGCTGAAGTTCCCACACTATTTGAGTGTGCACATATAGACTGTAAATGCACTGCATGCAGATTTTATACATTAGTTGTGTTCCTGACTGCCAGTTAAGTTCAGTGCCCCATTTTGTGAAATGGTCTTTAATGCAGTAAGAACCTCATCACTGGTAGAAAACAAAGTGCACATGTAATTTGACAATGGTTTAAAAGCTGAGTTTGGTGTGCAATAGAATCACTTTTCTTCCTAATGTTAAATCGTGCTTGTAAAGTGATACCATTGACTATTTTTTTGCACTTTGTCATTTATAAATATTTATATGTATTTAAAGATTAAGAATGTGTGTGTATGTGTATATACATATATATATATATATAAAAAAATGCTTAGTTCTGTAAACATGAATGTTACTTTTCTGTATGAGGCTGTATAGTGTTAACACTATTGCAGTATACATGACTTATGAAATATATGATTAAAAATGTGAGGGTCAGCATAGATGCAATCTGTATTCTTAACTGCTCACCTGAAAAAGAGGGCTCTGTGGCTATTAACCAGATTATTTACCTGAATCATTATATTAAATATGAACACTGAGTAGCTGCATGGCATTGCAGAAATGGAGTATGTTCTAAAAAGTTCATTTCATCTGTGTTCGTATCACTTTTCCTCAAAAAAAAAAAAAAAGAAACTTTACGAAGCCAGCCACTTTAAAATCTGTATTAGAAGCCTGCAGGTTTACTTTGAGGAAATACTGTGATATGAAAGGTTTGTTTTTTATTGAAAATGATGAAATGTAAGAAACCAATGTTAAAATAAGGCTTTGTCTGCACAGATCAGTTAAAATAAACTAGTCTAACGACTGGAAACTAAAGCAAACAGCCTTGGAAATTTTCTATTGTGCTTCTGATAAGGGATTATGTTTCCTTATCAAAAGAATTTCTAGTTAAGTTTGAGTTTTAACTTTTATTAACCAGTTGGTTGCCAAGTTTCACAAACTGTTAGGGACCAGAGTGCTTTGGGGTTTTCTGTCTTTTTAAGTCCTAACAGAGTACACATGTGTTTATGCAAAATCAAGTTAAAAAAGCAATTCCACATATTTTTCTTTCCTAAAGGAAGGACCTTAAATACTAAACCATAAAGCAAAAATCTTTTTTTTTTCTGAATTTGATTGTATTTGGCTTAAAAAAAATAGTAATTTTATGAATGAAGGAGGTTTTAAACATTGCAAATGCATCCTGAGACTCCGAGAACAGAGCGAAGGGCCCTTCCTTGGCAGGAGCGCTGCCTGGTCTGTGTGTGCTGGAAAGTTCAGATCTTTAAGTGCAGACAAATCTTTACTGAACCCTTGGGATACAGGTTCAGTCTTGCAGCAATACAGGTTGTGTGGAGTGTTTCACTGGGATTGTGACACTGGACATGGAAGTACTTTAAGCTGAACAGCCTTCGTATATTCGACGTATGTCCTATGGATTCTATCGGGGCTTGATGCTAAAACTTAGTGATACTATGTCCTGGGAGCCAAATTCTTTTCTGGGATGCCAATTGCTGTAATTCCTGCTCAAAACTGGTTTTGATCCAGGGATGCCTGTGCCCGGATACAGAATTTGGACTTTGGGTTCCCAAAGATGAATCCCTGACTCCAGTAACTTCTTTCCTTTTCCATGGTGTATTTGCCTTTTATGTGTTGAAGTTTGACAGGAAAAAAGAGCTACTTTGGCTGACTATTTAACATATATTTTAGTTTGTCTATTACGTAAGTAATAGCGATGCTCTAAAGCTTATTACATAGCTTATTAAATCAGTTTTATTTTTGTCCACTCCGCATGCTAAAGGTGTCTGGAGTTAAAAGGTTTCAAGTGAATGACCTTTTCTCATATTAATGTTGGATAAAAGTGGAGGGACAAACGCTGTTTCCATTTGTGTTCTACTAAAAAGACTATTTTTGTAGCAAAAACTTCAATTGTTAAATTTCAATCCCACAGTCTTGCTTTGTGCACATGAATATACTTGGGTCCGCTATTTCAAACAGTATATGTATAACAAGTCAAGTATAAAATTAAAATAATAAAATGCACTCTTCTGAAATTTCTTATTGAAAATATGACAATTTATTTTGGTTCGGTATGAGAATTCAATACAAAATAGAGAAAATACATTTAGCTATTAAGTTTTTTATTTCTGGATGCTGCTGCTTGTTTTTTGAGAAGGTGCTTGCAGTTTTGCACAACAGAAAGCAACTTAATGGGTTTGAATCACTTTAGGATTCTTCTAAATGCAACCCTCTTATGGTTGAACAGAAGGACATTAAAATCATCTAACATGTTTAATTTTGGTTGGGCTCTTTGTAATTCCGTTTGATTTAATCAGCACATTATATTTAAAACTGTTTTCAGAGATTTGGAATTAAATATAAATACACAGTAAGAGATTTTCTGAGAAACATCTCTATTCAGATGCCTGTGGGATGATTTGAGTAGCGATGTGACTGCCTGGCCATCTGTTAGAGGAAGATACAGCAAAGTTTCTCTGCCACGATAGCCAAGTCAGCTGGGAGCATTTGGATTTTTCTTCAAACAAAGTATTTTATTAACTATTTCCTATGTTTCCCAAGTTTGTGTATGTTATGGTGAGGCCAGAATAAGATCGGGGCTCTGCTGTAATAGGTGCTATGTGAATGGCACAAGAAGTCACTGTCCCTGCTCTAAAATACCTGATACTGAACCCCTGACCCTTCCTGCGACTTAATCCATGTGTCTTTGTTCTCAGGATGGGTCCCTTAATTCAACACCAACCTTTAATTCAACCCGTAATAACCTTAACCTTTAATTCAACCTTCAACACACAGCCCTTAATTCAACACAAGCAGGGGAGAAAGTAATCAAGTTATCACTGACGAACTGCATTTTATGTTCACCACCTGAATCAGGAGTCTTTCGCTCTTCACTGATGGGAAAGCTAATTAATGCTTGTGAGCGTATTTAGTTCTGTTGTCTTCTAGTGGAAAAACTGCTTTTGAAAGAACAAAAGTGTCATTAGCTTTTCTGTAAATTCAGGTGCATAAATTGGTGCTAATTTTTTAAAAGAAAACAGATGGTTAGCAGCGTCTTTGTTTTTTGATATATCTATTTTCTTAAATGGTGGCAAAACAAACTTTATAAGGTAATTAATGTGGGTCTTCAGTTTCATCAGATGAAAATGCCCAGGTTTTTCTACAGTAGAATGGTTAACCTTCCACAGCAGTTCCTGCTGCTTTGGAGCTCCTGCTTTCAGATGTGTTACCAATAAAATGAACACAGAGGTAGCAATACACGACTACCTGTCCTTTCTTTATAAGAGGTAACATTTCTTTACAGGTGTTTTAGCAGGTTAGTGTAATCAAGATATCAGATTAAATCCCGTAGATGTAAAGTTTATCTGGTTATTACCTTTGGAAAGATTATATGAATTTTCAGGCCTTTTCAAGAGGGAATAACATATAACTAACTTCTCATACAAGTATAAGTGTTGATACTTGGGAAGACATCCTGTAGTATGTTCTAGAAGACATTTTATAAAGATTATAGGAGTCCAAGTCATTTGTTTTATCTCAGCCCTTAAATAGTGCCCCCAGGGCTATCTGTTCCTCAAGAATTTCTTTTGCAGTATCACTAAGTTTTCACCCCTCTCAAAGTGCTTCGTGCATCTTGTCTGGGCCCTCTTCTCTGCATTCTGTTTACCGAATGTCGCAAAAAGTAGCATCAAGCCCTATTACTTGTTATAATGTTGAGTTTATGGCCTTAATTTCACTCACTTATAGTATGGTGTATAATTTCAGAAGGAAGATGTGCTTTGAAGTCTAAATATATGGATATATGTGGCCTCTGCCTATGAAATTAGGCTTTGATTGTCATATCTCATCCTCAATGCTTGTGCAATAGGAACATGTTCCCTTTAGTGCAGTGGCTGTTTTACGTGATGCTGGACTTTGTCTTTCAGGACCTGATTTTTCAGGACTAAAAAGTATTTTTCTTTTCTTTTTTTTTTTTTAACAGCAATCACGCTTCCTTCATTTTGGTCTATTTTTTTTTTAATGGAAAGCAGAAATTTCATCAAGAAAGCTGTCAGTAACTAATTCTGAAGTACTAGCTACAGTTGCATTCTGAACTGTTCTGTTGTTTTCCAAAAATCTTGTCATGAAACACCAATACTAAAGCCACTGTAAAATTACAAATAAATATGTATACTTGAACAATGTGAACAGTCTCTTTCATTTACTACAGCAGTAGGATTTCTATTTCTTTGTCTTGTGCTGAAGTAGAACTTGTCTAATGGAAAGGGTGAATGGGTTTAGTTATCGTAAAAGTAACCAAAAGGTTAAGTATTATTATGAAAAATTGATAAATGTTAGGGGATTGGTTGGAGCTCCTTTCTCAATCAACTGGAAAACTTGGACATTCAACATATTATTTTGAAGCAAATTTTATTGCAAAGTAATAAATGTATTTTGACGTATGCTTGTTATAGCGCAGAAACTTGCTAGGTGTGCCAGAAATTTGACAGATCAGTATTCACATTCATCTACCATAACAGTATCATAGGTAAATTTTTCAGAGTTCCTCATAAGATTTATATGTATTTTTATGGTATGCCTTTTCTTTATATTTGCTCCAGGCTTTTGATGTGACAGGGCCGGTTTAGAAAGGTAAGAAAGGTAAGAATCAAAAACAAGATCCACGTAATTTTTGAGGAAAGTGAAACTTCAGGAGAAGTAGAATGTTTTTCATAGGAATGGATTCCTGAAAGACACAAAGTGAAGGGAAGAGTGGAAAAAGGAAATGGAGAAGAGAATTTTAAGAGTTCAAATGGAGTTCAAAGACTGCCCTGTGTGAAGGTAAGACAATAAATCAGTCATGGTTCAGTGATGCACTTCTGGAGCCTGGAGCTGCTTCGCTCCCTGGAACCTGTGGGGTGAGATGGCATTTTCTGATTCACTCACATCTGCTTGCTCTCTCCTCCCTGGGAAAGAAGGAAAACAGTCTGCAAGGTCAGCCTCTATCTGGCTGCTCACCGAGACATTCAGTGAGC